CCCTTGAATGGACAATTTGGAACATTTTTACCTAATGAAAATTGACAAAGATTGTACATTGGGATGGGGGTTTATGAAAATCCCTAGGGTCAGTAGCCTTGGGAGGCCTTCAACAATTACTAAAAAGCTAAAAGGAACACCTGAATAAAGAGAAGTCTTTCAAAAAAAATCTCTTTGAAAGGAGTTGCTTTAGCTGTGTCTGTGTTTCCCAGTCTTTGAAACATTGCATAAAGGACTATAGTTCTTCTTTTAATGCAGTTAGAAATGAAAAAAAAAACCTACAGCCCTTATTCAGGAAAATGGGTAACGGACAAAAGGCCAATTTTTTCCTTTTTGAGGCAAAGTCCTTGTCATTTTAAGTGCATTAGTCCGCAAATTAAATATTATATGTTTAACGAAAAATGCCACTTTGAAAGCAGCTGGATTGTTTGACTCAAAGACACGGCTGCAGCCTTGATGAGTGGAACTGTGTGCGACCATGAAGAGGTAAAGAACGCCATTGTTGCAAGTGCACCCCTCATTTGACCTGCTGTCATCCTTTTGTGCTTTCCTCACAGATGAAGACACTAGACACAGTCATGCAGAGGAGGAAACTCAGACATTTCAGAGCATGTTGCATTCATTTTGCATGCTCTAATGTGTTTATTTCATTGACTAGACATCAACTTATTGTTCATTATTCTAAATGGTACCAAGCCCTACAGGCTTCCAGTTTGTAGACATCTCAACAACCTTGGATTATGTTTGATGCATCAACCCCAAATCTCTCTCCCATGACAACAACAACATTTACACATGATACAATTTCAGTTTATAGTAACTGTTTGCGTCATTCATCCTTTTCTCTAACCAATATCAAGGCTTTTAACCCCTCAACCTTCACTGCTACTTTCTGAAGCAATTATGTAGAGGCATTATACTTGGAATGCAAAAGTTCAATGACAATGCAAATAGCGTGGTCCAAAATAAGCAAATTTCGAAATCTGTGCCAATCAGGTCTGTGTCTCCCGGCTTGGTTCTAGATGGGTCGCCATGGTTTGGATTTGGGTAGAACATTTCGGGCCTTTCAGGTTTGGGCACAAATTTTTTGAGCCATTGTGAACATGTGGACAACTCACACATATGCAGCTGCAACATCAGACTGTGAGAAAGGCTCAATGAAAATGGTGAAAACAGACTGGAGGTCAATGCTGGGTGTTGGCACATTTTCTGACCCTCTACTCACATCCCTGGGTATTCCACGATATGACCCCACTCCTGCAGTTGAACGGTGGCACTCTGACTGCTTGAGAAGCCAGAGACCTTGTTTCTTGGATGGCTGTTCTGAGACAGAAGTTGTTTTTAAAAAGGACAATGAAAATTAAGTGGTGGTAGGTTGTGTATAATATGCAGCTCTGCTAGCTCACAGACTAGATCAATCAACACTTTGAAAAGAGGGTGAGAGGATGGGATACATCAGTTGCATATTTTTAAAAGTGTTCTATTTGAATGTACTCTTTGAATCAATTGAAACATGTAATGTTCTTTAACCTTTTTGTTTTCAGTGAATCTCAGTCTCCTTTGAAAGGTAACTTTATAACCCAAAGATCTGACTAAGTATAAGAGACAGTGAACCAAAGGCACACAGACACAAGTAAATGGTTTTAATGATCATTTGAGTAGTGAGATATTCAGTACTATTGTTCATGCCTGGTGATAAGGTTGTCGACATCTAAAAGCAAACTCCATCCTCTATTGAAGAAAGTCATGTGATATGATCAGAAACTCTAGAACAGCTCCTAAACCTTGGACTGTGTGGTGAGTTTTTGTCAACTTCTTTTTCCAAAGACAAGGGTGAACTTTCATGCGCTGTTTTACTGTCTAACTTTTTCATTTGTTTTCCTTAGAGTATCCGCTGTTGGCAACTAAAGCCTGATTAAGGGCTTCGTGATTATGTTTAGGCAACTGAAAGCACTTGGTTAAGGTTCAGGAAACATTGTGGTTATGACAAATATATCACAAGGTTAGACAACCAAAGCACTTTGTTGAATGCAGAGAAAGGTTATGGTCTTGGTAGAATATTGAAAAAGTCAGCGGTGATTTGAAGGATTAGACTGTGGAACTAATGAGCTTTGTACTGTCTGCATCCACTCTGCCTTCCTCCCCACAAAGTTTCGCTACAGCATAACATCACTCTGCACAAGAGCAAAACCATCATCAGTCAACATAATCCAGGTGCCATTACATTTCCCCCTAAATGTATTCTGAAAAAAAGTGCGAGTATAATTCATCATTGACAGGATTTTAATGCCAACTCCATACAGCACAGCAGGTTTGACAACTATGTTAAAGAACATAAATTGCTCATATTTTGTTGATTTACTCTGTTAAAAGCACACTATTCCACTTCTGTCCATCCTGGGAGAGGGATCTCTCCCTTGTTTGAGATTTCTGTGTTTTTTCCGGTAAAGGGTTTATTCTTTTCGGTAGATTTTCCCCACCCTTGTCAAGGTTTAAACAGAGAGGTTATCACACCATGTCCAGATTGTTAAGCCCTGATTTATGAATATGAGCTTTAGATAAAATTGTAACGTTTAAATGGTATTAGGATGCATAATTTAATTAGGGTTATTTCTTGAAAAGGTCTACAGGCTCTAATGTTCAGAAGACACATCACTGTCCTCATACTTTCTCGTGCTGGAGCTCCTCTTTTCAGCCTCTGTCTGAAAAGCTTTGTTTGAGCTCCTGTTTCTTTAAGACCCCCCTCCTGTAGAAGCCCAGTCTGCTCTGATTGGCCAGCTTTGCCCACTCTGCTGTGATTGGTCAACCTGTTCCACTGCATGTAGGAAATGTCTGCCTCTGCTCTCACTTTACCTGGCTTTGTTAGGGGGGGTGTCAGACTAGCTCCTAATTGTTATATGTGCAAATGTAGGGGATTGTGATGTCACAAGACATTGTGATGATGCTGATATTATTTCATATTGTTTCAGGAGCTTCAGAACTAGTGTTTTCTAATGGGGAGAGGAACTGTCACTTTTAATATACACAAAGCACCTATATTAAAAGCATATTAGAATTTAATGTTATTTAATGTTTTGCCTGTATTTTATGTTTTGCCTGTGCTTCTGTCCCCTGCATGTCTGCCTCATATGGAATTATTAAAACCTATAGATTACAGGTTGCAGAGGCCACATTAACCACATGAGAAAATGACTGTAACACCTTTGATCGTTGTAAACCCCTTCCAAACACAGGAGTAAGGAACATTATAGCTTTAGATCACAAAGTCAAAAGTTAAATTTGACATATGTGAAACTTATTAATTACACTGCTCATTTCTGTCTTTTAATGTCCTTTTATTAAGCTGTAATAGCCTAAATTTTATGTAGGTTTGAGGAAGAGAAGAAAGTTTGCTGCAGTGTCCATTTTGTCATTGTATCTACACATGAGCACTTGAATTCATAAAAGTCATATTTTGTAATTCTATATTTGAAAAATAAGGAGCATTTATTGTGACACTATTTAAGTCGTCAGTTTATTTACCACACTTAGTTTAATACTTGAGTCAAATATCAATACATTCACACTTCCCCTTGGAGTGTTATGTCTCGTCAAATATGTTCAATTTAATTATGTTCATGTTTTAAGTTATGTCATGCTTGTGTTTAGTTCATGTCTAGTCTTGTGTGTTTTGAGCACTATGTGTTAAGTTAAACTTCACTCATGTCTAGTCTTGTCGTGCACTTCCTGTTTTATTTTGTACTCACCTTTTCCCTCTCGTTTCAGACCCTGACTTCCTCCCTTTGTGTGTTTTTCCCGCCTTGGTGATCGTCTTCCCCTGATTGGTTTCACCTGTTTTCCCCTTCCTCTTGTATAAATAGTCCTCGTCTCCCTTTGTCCGGTGCCAGTTTGTCTTGGTCATTCCATGTGAGTTATGAGAGTGTTGCTTCTAATTCAAGTTTATTTGCCTTTTCAAGTTTGTGATCTTTTGTTTGACTCAGTGTTTTGTTGTGTTACTTTTTCGATCCTCCACGAGAGCACTTTTTGTTTGTACACTTTTTTGTCCTGAAATAAACCTTTTTGTTTCATTTCATCACCTGCTCTGAGTCGTGCATTTGAGTCCACCAGTATTCATGTCTAAGGTCGTAACATGGAGTTGATGTCTCGTGTAGGCTACACATATTGTTCCAGCTTTCACTTCGCAGAAGTTACTGTCAGCCATATACTGCCTGGAGCAGCTGACGTTTTCTTTAATTTTTCATGCTATGTTAGCACACTGCACAGATAAGAGAAATGTAAATAGATGAATGAGTGTAACAGAGCTTTGACATGTGAGATCCTCCTCTGCCATGAATCTAAACATGCTAAACCTTTCCAGCCATTATATATACATGACTCAATTATTAGTATATGCCTTTCAGTTAAACACTGAGCTGGATGTTTGGGGGCCAGGTATACATGGCTGCTTCTTAAAAAACCTCAATTAACCTAAATGTTTCCATCCCTAATGTTATAAAAGATACCTGTACTATCCTGTACTAACCCCAAGTCTAAATATTTGTCATATAAAAGGCTTCCTGTGCTGTAAATCCTCTATATCTGGTTTCTCAATTAACTCAACTGAAATAATTAATTCAAGGTATTCTTATCAAAGTTAGTAAATTAATTTAACTTGGAAAAAACAAGCTCAATAAACTCAAGCTAACGTGAATCAATAACTGTTCAGTCAGACAGAAACGTTAAAGATAGATTTGGCTGCTGTTGTATTGTTTTAACAGTTAGTTTTTAGTTTGGCTCAAAGTGTCTCCAGCTGTTGCTGCTGTTGGAGCCACTAACAGTTCACAGATAACAAACACGACATGCTAGGCTGCCTCCAGTCACCTTATTAAATTTAGAACATTCTGCTAAGATGATTTATATACACACCAGCTTAAACTATTCCAATACTGTTTTTAAACACCCTTTTGAATAATGGTCGATACCTTTGTAAAATATTTCAAAATGTACAATTTATTGTGTGCTTGATGAACATCTCATGAGGTACCAACAAAGCAGCTTCATAACAATTTGTTAGGACAAAGAAGGACCTAAAATAGAAATTTAATTCAATAGAAACATGCTTTCTATCAGAACTGTTATAGGCACGAAACAAGGCAGGAAATATCCCTGTCACTGGTTTTATGATCAGGCTCAGTATGTGTGGCTTTGTGCGACCCAACTAAATGTGGTAACAATTAATGTGTTTCTGGCGTGAGCTTCATCTCAATTTGCCAAATAGCCTTATTGGTATACCGACTGTGGTAAAACAAATATTTTAAAAATCACAATGATAGCAAAACATATTAAGTCACGCTGCAGCCTGAAACAACAAACAATGGGAAGCACTTTTATAAACTCAGTCTGGGCCTTTCATTGTGCACTGGATGTTGTACAATGAATCAAAGATTGACATGGTTCGCATCAATGAAATCTCCTCTTGGACTAACAGAAAAGGTAATGCTGATATATGCTGGTGCCTCTGGTTTCTGTTCCTAGCTCGTTGTCAGTCCAAAATATTCCTCTTTCTTCTCAAAGTAGAAGTTGAGTCGTGCCGTGGCATATCTGGCAGGACAGCAGAGGACAGAAGAACATGATGAGAGAACATGATGATACTCTACATTTGCACTTTGTAAATATTGTGACATCCACAGAAGTAATTGATCTTAAAGAAGGCACCATTTTGTGTATTATTTAATATACTTTACACTCTTATAGTAATTTCTAGCTTGTACTTTATACAACAAAATATGAGTACTAAATGGCAAGTATGAATTATGTGTATCAAGAAACATTCCTTTATGTTACATTTTATACAGCATATAAAATAATGCCCATTATCAAACGCAATCCACACAATATTGCAATAACATTCAAGAATTGAATTAAATGCAGCACAAGGTGCCAGTGTATTTGTTGTTTGCAAAAACCTGAAAAAAAACAGCACCAACTCCCTCTTAAATAAAACACGTGTGTCTGACAGCTCTGCCAAAGCGCATTTCAGAGCTTAAATGCAAAAAAAGTGATTTTGTATTTTTTTTCCTAACCATATTATTAATGCTTCAATAAATCTGATGTCTGAGGATGCTGTTGCCCTTGGCTATTATACTCTACCCTTTGAAATTAAGTGAAGTTTCAAAAGCACAGAAAATGGAGGTACAGAGAGGAGTTTGTCCTTTAATCATTGCTTTCATTGAACTCCTCAATGCAGAATCCATTTTCTCTCACTTATTGCGCAGTGAGACAAAAATATAATTCAAACACATGCCATTTAGTTACTTGTATTCCATCACTCTGTTCCTCACCTGTGTCTCTGGGTAAAACTGCTCTCTAATTATTGTGTCAGAGTCTGGCCTCTCTTATCTGCTGTATGCAGTTTCTCTGAGGAGTCGTTTCTTTCTTGTACTTTCTTTTCTTCACTTGCGGTGTCATGTTTAGTTGTAGAATACACACGAGCGTGTTTATAGATATATGCTATACAGTATGTGACTCTCTTCAAACCAGTCCCAAAGAAATAGTTTGTTTTTATTCAGTTACACATGTTGAGAAAATTCTAGAGGGGTAAAAATCCCTGGTGGTAGCCGTGCAGAACCAGCACGCAATTTTCACCTCGCTCATTGTGGCTTGGCAAACTGAAATACGTGTTTTCTCTGGACAGTCGTGATTCTAAGTAAACCTTGTGCAGCAGTGGATGATTGACAGCTGAGTCCTGACTGGACAAAAGCAGCACCTGTTGGGCCGTCGCTGAGGAGGGTGCATGGCAGATGTACAGCTGAGAACATCACATTTCTCCACGACCATCTTCAGTCTCTTGAATATTAGTCAAAAGACTGGAAGACTCAGTATCTACTAAAATAAACTCAATCAAATGCTGATCCTGTCTGTGTGTGTGTGTTCGGTCCACATCAGCCCCCCGCTGTTGTAGCGCGATCTCCTCTACAACAGCAGATTGCTGCAGTTTGTGTGTGAATGTGGAAAATGATTTGATCACAACAGTGGGTTTGAGTGACTCAGTATCTAATTCTTTCTTATTATCAAAGAGCAGTTTCCGAAATATTCAGCCAGTGGCCAGTATATCTTTTTTCATTCATTATTAATAATTTAAACACAATCAAAATTTAAACCAGGGCATTCTCTAATTTGATAAAAAAAAAACTTGGGAATAGATACGATTTTTTTCAAATTGGTAGGGTTCATTTTTTTATTTGATTGTTCAAGACACATTGAATCAACGTTTAAATAAATATTGGATCAGATTTAGGATGAACATAATGTTAAAAGAGCCAAAACCACTCATTGAGGTTTTGGATTTTTGAGAGATGGCCTGGTTTGTCCCGGAATTCATCTCTGTACTTTCTCAAACTTGATTTCTCAGTAAATTCTTCCGATTTAAACATGGGATTAAAATCTGTGTTAGATTTGTGGCAGATACCATATAGAACAGACAGAACATTTATTTTCTATTGAGATGTTGGTTTACAGAGAGACATCAAAATACAGAGTCTCATTGAGAAATCTGATGTGAAACAAATTCACTATTCACTATTATTCTATTCACTTTAACTTAACAATTTGCTTTTATGTTTAAAATAAGTGATGAACTGTTTCTGTCTCTCCTCTGTAAGAAATGCGTTAAAAATATTTTACTTTTGAACAAAACACAAAATCACATGCCCTCTCTCACATTAATCATAATGACTAATCATTTTTACACTAGCAGGATGAAAAACAATGAAACGCCACGTGATAAATATAAAATAAATTAAATGGACATTCACTTGGGTAAAGTGAAAAGAGTTGTCAGCTTATCTAGAAAAGTAAAAACGCACTGGTCATAGCCTTTTGTTCTGTTAATTTAATTACCTGTCACACCTACACCCTGCTTAAGTGAAACTATTCTTGAGTATACCCATTTAAAAGGACAGCAGCCTTCACATACAATCCCATTCGTCTGTGTTTTTATTGAGGTCGACACCTAAAACTGGCGTGCTTAACGTTTATCATCATCAGTGATGAAACTGAGATGTTTTTCTATTTAGCAGAAGTAGGGGAAAATGAACTCCCTCCGATACAGGTACTCCGTTTCACAATGTGCTTTTGTGCACGATTTCCCCCAATTTTGCAGTCAGGCTATTCCAAACAGTGGGCCTCCTCCTCGTTCATTTCCTCATAATAATGTCTTTGTCAAATAACGGCTCGCCTTGCCAACACGTCCACAAATCTAAACCGCTGACTCGCAGACACTTTCAACACATGAATAAAATCATACAAGGAAAGTAAATACAGACGGTGGAGGGCGGATTGTGCATTCCCCTTGTGGCTCCCTATTGTCACATCTACATCTGGCCCTGGTTAAAGCACAAGGTCTGGGCGACGCCTGTCACTTGTTGGGAAGTCGGCGGAGATTTGGCTCAGGGGGATAACAGTGGGAAGAAACACACACACACACATGCACACACAAACAGACTCTAACTTTTTATCTCTTTCCTCAACAGAACTTGTTTATCACAAAAGCATAAGGCAGCAGCGTTGTGTTTTTTTCCCCCCAGCAGATAAGGGAAATAATAGTACACGGATAAGCCCAGCTAGAGCTTGTAGTCCTCACAAGTAACTGCGGTGAAAGCCATTATTTTTTTATTACATTAAATGAATGAAGGAGGCCTCCTGCAGTGATCTTTCAACAGATACTTGTTACCTGACTCTGCACAAACCTTTTAGCCACCTTCAGCTTGTTGTTTTGGTCTTACAGTTCAATCCTAATGCTCTCAACGTAATTTCCAGCCGCAGCAGCAGCAGCAGGCAGTAAGGGGGCTTTAAAGTTGTGCATTCGATGTTCAGTAACTCACCAGCAACAATCAGCTGACCAAAAGACATTTCTTCATTTAGGAAGTTAAACGAGAATAGCAAGATGTTTTGGAATCTGTCGGCTATGGTAAGTCATCATTTGCAACGTGAACAATCAAGAAACTGATTTTTGATCGTACATGCTGCAAAGAATGATGCAGATGGAAACATTTTTTTTTTGCTTTGATGGTGGGTTGTTTAAATGGCACAAAGCACGAGTGTTGTATTAAGGAGGTTGGAAGGTTAGCTTTACCTTCAAAAGTTAGGTCTGTTTCCCCATCGGTACTGGTGCTCTAAGAGCTCATTTCATAGTTTAACCCTCCAGTTAAAGAAGCGTAACCCGACCCTCACCGTGCACTTTAGGACAACCTCAGCCAGCAGCTTAGGGGAGCAGACGTCTAGCAGCAAATGTGGCCTCAGCCAGGGATGAGAGACGTATATGTAAGTGAGGACCGGCGGCACAGGAACAATAGTGCCTCTGTGCCTCGGCACCCCTCTGGATCACATTTCCTCTGAGGTCCAGATCGAAATGAGGCGGGGGCCCTGTCGCTGATCTAACAAGTGGGCAGAGAAAGCCACACAGAGGGGAGGGTGCCGTATGTCAATAGTGATTATGATCACCATCACAACTGTGGCGGGTGTGGGGCGCACAGAGAAGGGAGAAAGGGAGAAAAAGAAGGGGTGGAGGGGAAACTTTTTGCCCTCCTGAACTTTATTGTCTGGTTGCTGGTAGTGAGGAATGTCTCCTGGACTTGTTTAAAGATAACCATCATGATACACTAGAAATAAAAGAAGTTGCCTTTTTCTGAAAGTTTTTGTGAAAGCTTGGCCTTCAATCTTTCCATGATGTGTGGTTTAAGAGTGAGGTAATTTCATGAGTAAACATTTTGTCTGCATGTAGTAGTGACAAGATGTGTAGAAGACGTCTGTGTAATCTGCCTGTTTTACGCCAAATTCTGGATACACACATTCTTTAAACACGGCTGGAAAAAAATATATCCACACTTAAGTTCAGTTGGACTCAAGTTCTCAATCTGTTATTGGAATTTCTCTGCCAACAAATTCTTTTTCAGGCAATCCTAAAGAAGCTCCTGTTTGCTTAAACATTGTATTCAAATCCTGAGAGCGTCTGCAGGATACATATTTCTATTTGTTAGTACGTACTGTATGATAAAGGTATTCTCCAATAAGTTGTTCCAGTGAGATTATGAGGTTTTAACTTTCATGGTGGTTTTATGTGTTCCTACATTTAACTGTTGTTGAGGTGGTGTTCATGTGAAGGTGGTGCTTCATGTCCGGAGGATCTTGATTTGTATAGTGACAGTTTGTGACCAGCAGTTGATAGGAGTACAAACCTCTGGAAGTCAAAGTCAATAGAGGAGTGGTGTGACTGCAGGATGGCCCAGAGACCCCAGAAGAAGTTGGATGCCTGAAGGAGGAGATAGAAAACATGAGTACTGCTGACTGGCTCTGACAGCATGTTGTCAAGGTGGCTGGTGTCGAACACTTAGACAATAAAAAAGACAATTCTTGAATAAACTAAACGTGCTTGCTTTAATCCGCAGCAGACGAACCTCTCGTCTGCTTTTGTCACTGTCAAAGTTGCAGAAAAATACATGAAGGTACTTGATTTGAAAGAAAAGAATTACATAGAGTACTACAGAAACTGCCACATTACCTAACACAAGTTGCATTTAACAATATAGTGTTGATTTACACACCATTAAAAGATTATTATGTTTTTATCAGTTTTTGCTTGATTCAAAGTGAAAGTACCAAATTAACTTTTCGACTAGAGTAAAAGTAATAAAGTAGTTGCATTTAAATTAACTTATAGTATTCGAAGTGAATCGTATTCCCTAATGCAATGTCAATGATTATGGCTGGGTCTTGGTGCCGTCGCCTCCGCTGCTGCAGGCACACATTGCAGTTGTTGTAGCAGGCGGGTCTAATGTTACCTGCCCACTCTGGTTCCCGCTTGTTATTAATTACTTTTGAAAATGTCACAAAACAATATAATCATGTAACACATGGCATTGTAAAAATGTAGTGGAGTAGAATGTAAAGCTATTTGCTGATATATATATATATATATATATATATATATATATATATATATAATAAATCAAAAAATAAAATAATCTACTAGTTCAGATGAAAATGGAGGAAAGTACAGTGATTTAGGAACTGCGTTTTGTAACATCCCACCACTGCATAAAACATCACAACGTAATGATGTTGAAATTGTCAGGCACCCTTTGAATCTGATAAAAGCTTAAAAAACACACTTCCTCTTGACCCCCTGTGGGAGGTCACAGCAGGGTCACATGTCTGCATCTTGCTCAAGAACACTTCAGCAGGGCAGGTGTTCGCTTACACAAACTAAACAGGAGCCATCTAATTAAACGACAGAATTATTAAGTACATGCAATATGGGACTGGAATGTGTTTAAAGTGGTAACATCTGGGTTACGTTGGTGGTATACGCTGTGGCACACACTTTTTTTTAAATTAAGCTTGTGGTACATCATTTTCTTTTGGGTAAATATCACAGGTGCTGTGTGGGCTCACTGATATCTGTCATGTTTTGGTACATTTCTCTGTGCTGTAGACCAGAACTGTAAAGCTACACTTCAGTGCGTACTTCTCCGTCAGAATGACAAACCTCCGCATTGAATGGTTCCCTCCTTAATGGCTTTGCTCACTTAGGCTTGCGGACTTCCATGCCTCCATAAATTTTTGTTGTTCTCCACCCTTATTGTAAATCTTCATGGTAGGACCACTAATAGCAAGTCCTAATAAGATCCAGACAGGCCTCTGTTCTGCGGCCCAGTGATATAATCACATTTTTATTTGATAATCAAATAAAGGGTGGAATGAAATATTTGAAGAACGATGTGTGGTTTCCCCTTGGCTTTCTTCCCCTCCCTGGCAGATTTTCATCTCTAATCTCTGTCTTTAGCTAGAGAGAGAGATTGAGCTTGTTTCCATTATGATTAATAACTGCTCTCCATTAAGAGAGCATTAGTCTAACACTGTGCAGAGGCCATCAGTGACAGGGAGCCATTGAGAAAAATGAGAAAGAGAGACATGTGGGGAGTGTGACATCACAGAGCCCTAGGCCATAGCTTCCACATCACAGGGGATCCCTGCGGAAGACAGGATGAGTGGTAAAGACCCCTCGGTGTCTTGGCACAGTTTGCCCAGGATTTAGGTTTTGGCATCTGGCCAGGCTTTGTCAATGCTGCACAGCGGAGCCACAGAGCTTCCCTCAGAGCTCACTGGTTTCATGGCTCCTCAGTTTTTACTATTCATGTGTGTTATCATCTACCGAGACTCAACTATCGCGTGAATTCAATGTAGTTTGATTATTACGAGCAATTACAAAGTGACACCAAAGTGATATAAAAGGATAAAATTACATTTAATCAAATTCTTAAAAGAATGATCAGAAAAAACACATAAAAACATAAAAAAGAAACAGATGAAATTAATAATTACGGCTGTTTTAAAAATGATCAAAGCTGGATAAACATAATGAACTAAATCTGCTCTTAGAAAATGTGATGAGAAAAATGTAAAAATCTAGTGAGATCTGTATGTGGAGAAAATTAACTATCAATTACTGCATGGACATGTCTTTCACTGTGTAAAATGAATATGGGCTGCAATAACAATTATTTTCAGAATAAATTAATAAGAAAATCCTCTTGATTCATTGTTTGATCTTTGTCAATGTCAGAAAAGAGTGAAAAATGTTCATCAGTTCCCAAGAGACGTCTTCACATTGCTTTATTTTTATAGGGAAAACTGTTGAAAACCTACAGGCATTTAATTAACCGTCATAGAAAACCAAATATTTAGTTTGAGAGGCTGGAGCCAGTGAATTTTTGGCATTTTATCTAAAAAAGAGAAACATTTAATTGATTATAAAAACTGTTTTCAAGTCATTATAATATTTCACATTATGCTAAGATGAGAAGAGAAATAATAAAAGGGACCTTGGATATTTTGTTTCTTTTGTCTCTGGACATACAATTTTACAGAAACCAAATTTATTGGGCAAAATGAAGTTATACATGATTTTTTTTTAAACCGAAAATTTCCACATTGAAACCATAAAAAATACACCCTGTGATTTTCTCAATTAACAGGCTCAGTTTCCCTCATTTTGACACACGGCCCTTCAAAACGAGTGGAGCTGGAAACTTGGCTTGTAAAGCGTCAGTGATCAATTTCTCCAACATCCCTTGGGTCTTCCTCGGTTTGTCATAGAAAATCTGACTTCAATCAGCGTGATGTTATCGCTTCTCTCACTTCATTCCAGGCCATATTTCTTTCCCCTCCGTCGCTCACTTCTCCCTCTCTGTTTGACTGAGGCACGACTTATTTTAAAAAGTAAAATGCTTCCTCATCATTTCTGGGCTATTTCAAGAGACATTCACACCAGCCCCAAATTGATCGGACAATTCTACATATTGTGTTGAGTTATGGAAGCACGTTTTAGACGGATAGCCTGGCACCACTTGAGCCACCAAAGAATGAAAATTGTGGTAATGAGAAAAAATTGTTTTGGCTGCTGTCTTTCACTTTTCCCTTCGGCAGTTTCTAATCACGTCAGATGGAGCCCATCAGACTTTGAGCAGTGGTGTGTAAGCTGTGGATCGGTTTCTTTGAGGAACCTTCTTTTTTTTGCTGGAAAAGTAAATTGTTGAAATGTGATGGCGAGATGTTGCCGCTCGGCCATTACAGAGGTCTGCACACATATGGATATCTTTGAAATGTGCACTCCAATCTCATAATACAGAGATATTTGAGGCCCTCCGAGAGATTAACTTAAAAAAAGGAAATAACTGTTTAGAGATTTGTCATTATTCAAAGTCTTTTACAAACTGCCGAGGTGCTGCATGATGACACATATTAGCATTTCTACAAAGTCGGAGGGAGCAGACACTTACCAATGAGAATTTGCAGACATGAATGTAAAGCTTTGTGACTTCTGCCTTGGTAACAGTGACCTCACACCCTGTGCTGTGCTTGTAACTCTCCAGATAGGTCATCAGCCAGTCCCTCTGCAGCTCCCATCTCGGGTACAGGCTGTAGTTAACGTCATTCACACCTTCAACAAACACACATGCACATTATAAAATAACTTTTGCCAATGTAAAAAAAAAAAATAACAACACAAAACAGAAAAAGTGCTCTTTTCAGAGAACAATTCTTTTATTTTAAACACACACATTGCTAAACACAAAAAAATCAACTGAGCATATCTAACACATGGTAAATGGTCTATGTTAATATAGATTTATATAATATATTACATTATAATATTTATATAACACAGTGTAAAGCTAGAGATTGACGCAGTGCATTCTGGTACAAAGAACTAACAGTTATTGATCATACCTTCACAATACTTTTGTCATATGAGTGACTTCTATAAGAAAATATTAGAAAATAGTAAAAAATTACTTTCCCAATTTTGATGTTAGAAAAATAAGCTGAATGTAATTTAGTGTTGTTATTACAGTAAGTTTTTTTTTTATTCTCCTACAGTAACAATTTACTTTAAAATTAAGAGTTTACATGAGGCTTATATAATATGCATTGTGATAGAACTACTCAACAGTATGTGTTATGGTTGAATTAGTTCAACATTAGTTCAACATTGACCAACTGCAACAGCAATTACACTGATCATGTATTACACTCACACAATGTTCATGCACTGAATATAAATACTTTGTAAAGTGTTATGATGCAGGACAAAGTAATTTTGCAATGTGTTATTGCTACTTTACCTTGAATAAAGACTCATGTGCACTTTCAGTTGAAATCTTAGTGAGACCAATAAGATTTTAAGAAATCGTTAGTAGTAAAACAATTATAGCTGCTTTTTCCCTTCGTTAGGAAAAAGTGAAATTAAAAATAGATATTTGTCTTCTCTTATGAATATTTGTGTTCATGACATTACTCATATTCCAGAGATAATATGTCGATCATTTTCTAATGCATGTGACAAAGGATAACGATTAAAATATGCTGAAAATCAAACAACATTCATTCACAATATGTGTTTATATATCGGTTCCTGAACAAAAGAAATGTTTCTGTTCAGTTTCATAATATTTTCTCAATTACAAGGCACACTCTCCTTCACTGTGACACAGGAGTTATCGAAACCCACAGATGTTTTTACATGAGGGTTAACTCAGTCAGTATCATGCATCATTCTCAGAGGCTGCACCAAGTTCCTACTGCACGGCTTATTTTCAGATATGACTTCAGATTCAATCGTTTGAAGATGGCAAGCGTTGGCATGAAAACTAAAATTTCATTATACACCAGTCTCAGTCCTTTTTATCACCAGGTATACATACAGAATAAAATAATATTTGTAGGACAGGATTCATGCTACAAATAAAGCTAAAATGATATAATGGTTTAACCGATGATTATCACACAGAATACACAGCATCCACGACATCAGCCAATCTTATAAGTTCTGTTCCCTGATAAATGATTCCAGGCAAATTGAACTGCTCGACCACAACACACACCTACCGGCAAATTCGTTGAAGTGATTGCCAATATCGAAGGCCTGGTAGTTGTAATCTGCGTACTCGTAGTCGATGAATTTCACCATTCCTGATGGAGGAGGAGAGGGAAATCAGCAGCTGTTACCACGACATCATGACAAACACATCTCAAGAGAGCTGACTCCTTTTATTGGAAGTACAGGAGTCAAAGGAATAAGGAGTCACCATGGACATTCTTGAGAAAATGAAGAAAGAGGAAAATAAAAACATAATAAATAGGAACTACAAATGGGGGGGTGATAAAGTGGGAGCACATTTTCAGTGGTGCAAAGGTTTTTCTTCTGTGTGTAAAATAAAGGGAATGAAAAGAGATACATTCACTTACTTTAATATCTGTCTTTTACTCTTGACTGTATTCACCTAATTTGATTCTGATTGATGAATATCTGCTGCATGTCCACAAAATATCATCACAAAGCACTTCATTTCAGGATTCTATCCACCACCCTCTCCGCGGTCGCTGATGTGCGGAGCTGTTCCTCACCCTCTTTGTTGTTGTATATTATGTTTTTTGTCAGAAGGTCGTTGTGGCAGAGGACAGTTGGCGAGTCGATCTGCAAGAGATGTCTCTTCAATGACTCCATCTCCGCTGACAATGTCTCAAAGCTGGGCATCTCTCCTGGAGCCAAAGAACTGTAAGAGGTCAAACCACTGAAATTCTTTTTTTTGCATGATGGAGAAGACAAGATTGTCACCACAACATGTGGAAGAATGTTTCATGAAAGAGGAGAGTCTTTGATTCATAGCTGTAAAAGGCAGTGGGCAAGATTGGCCACCCAGGTTCAACACCTGAAAGTCACTGAAGTGAACACAGCACATTCATGATTACCAGATACTAAATAAAGAGGTAGTTTAAGTGGAATGTCTGTCCATATTATTCATCTCATATCATATTTGAGACAGTGTATCCAATACAATCAGTCAGTATTCTTCACTTCTAAAACAAAGCGCAGCTGTATTGTTAGATTTTCTTGAAACATTACAATAAAGGAAAAAAAAATAAAGCAAAAAAATATACAACTAAAAATGTATCCCTGCATAATTATGTATCTAGCTTTTTGTCTCTGCAACTCTGGTGCTTTATTTTACTGTGGATAGCGGTAAAAGAAAATATTTTACTGAACATCGGGATGCCTCCCAACATTTTATGAAAAAGAGCCTTTTGCTAACTCACATTCACATTTGTATGAATTTTGATTGATGCACACTGTCCCCTTTCAAATAAAGAATTTAACATGTAAGAATCCTGGATCCAAATTGTTAAATTAAGTAAAACTACAAAATTGTGTTACCAATGGAATGTAGGCGATTGTAAGTATCAAAATGTAATATTAAGTAGGAATATTACAGTGTTACAGTGTTGTTTTAATTTTGTCAACATTATACTGTGTACTGTTGGATCATTTAACCTGTAACAATTTCCTATTTCATGAGCTGATTGGTATAAGTAAAGTGTAATCAGTGTGTGTGTGGTTGACAGATACTTATGAATAAAAGTGCAACATTTTCTGAAGTACATATTATCTCGCAATGGAAACTCTGAAGTAATATACAAGTTCCTACATATTTTACAGAAACAGTTCTNTGTGAACTACTGCTATTATGTTTTCACTTTAAAGTTCCCCCCTAAGTGAGAATTTCCACTTAAATGCTGTGTCTCACTTGTATTTAGGTACAAGTGAGCATTAAGGCCACAAAAAGGGGAAAAACAATATCTGAGATTTTGAGAATAAAATCATAAATTTACAAGAAAAGAAGATGTAAATGTATGTCATAAAGCCATGATATTATATCATCATAACTTTGAAAAGATTGTGTAAGACACTAAGCCTGTTCTGAAGATAGAACCACACAGAGCTGGAGGAAATTACAGCTTTTGTGGAGAAGAAAATGTTTGGCAGCGGTCGACTGTGAGGCTATCATACTATCATACCGTTAATTCTCATATTATTATGTCTTTATTCTCCAAATCTCTGATATTTTTACCCTTTAAGTGGCCCTAATACTCATCATATGTAGGAACTGTTCCAACCTAAAAATAAATCTATTTGAGGGAAAAGACTTAAAATGGAAAAAAATTGGGTTAAGGATTTAATCTTTTCACAAGGAAAGTGTGTAAGTACAGTGGCTAACAGACAAAATGCCAAATTTGTATAACCTGTATAATGAAAGTAAATCATATGGCACAGTTGGTGGAGGGAGCGAGTAAGTTTGCATCTTCTAAGAAGATATTTGTAAACTGAAGCGGTTCAAGGAGCCTTGTGAGGTTATGCCTTGTTTTCACTCTGTTGATTACTTGATGTATCAAAGAAGGCACTAATGTCCTTGGACGTCAGTTCAAAATGCATGCGGAAGAAACACTGCATAAGCATCCCACTCCTAATTAATTTTCGTGTTTTTTTTTCCAGTCATCAGGCCACGACAAGAGGGTAGAGTAATTTAAACACTACCTATTTATTCACATGGGAACAAAGAGACAGTCCTGTATTATACACACTAGCAGACATAATTTAGTGAGGCCTGTTAGGAATGCACAATAAAAGCAGAGGAGCTGAGTCTTGTTTATAGTCGTGCCACCGAGGCTAAGCAGCCTCCTCCTCCTACACAACTGCAACAAGTCATTTATGTATATCATCTTCCTCCTCTTCATCCTTTCTTCCTGCTGTGGGTAGACAGATTGAGGGGAGACTAATTAAATGAAATCAGGTTGGGATCCAGACAATGAGATCTAAATTTGACTGAAGTAATTTTTTATATATTTAAAAAATATTCCTCGAGCATATCATGGTTCCTGCTCACTTTTTAATGATTGTGTTACATTTACTGTAACTGTTATTTTACTCTATTAGCCAATGAATGATTATAACACGATTTAATTTCAAATTTCAGATTTTTTTTTCCTCAAACCCACTCACCTATGAAATTCTGAAAGCGACCCGCTCTGTCATGCATAATTTACCAGGCTCCTCTCTGATATGAATTAAAACACTCAGTCAAACGGTGAATAACTCTGATTCCTTTTCAACCCATTCAGTTTTTTTAACTTAAAAAACTGACTTTATCATAAAAGCCCACGAAAGCTAAATGAAAGACTTCCATTGACTTTAAATGGAAACCTGTCGTCTTGCCATCAGATCTTTTCCTCTCTCTTTTTCTGTCCTTTTCATGGAGCATACTGCATCAAGTACATTCGCCTCCTGCTCCCTGTCAAGTCTCTGTACGGTAATTAGTGGAATATCCTCCTCTGGCGCTTCATTATCAATGTGCCTTATTTACATATGATTTCAAACACCAGCCGAGCTCTGCTGATTTTTCTTTCCTTTTTGTGGTTTTACACGATTCATGGCAGTGTAAACGGGAGACATGGCAGGGGGCCTTTGGAAGAAGAAGAAGAGGTTACACTCTTGCTTTCCATTGCTTTTCTTTCTTTTCTCTCCCATCTCTGACTTCTACTGTGCTCTCTCTCTCTCCCTTCGAACCTCGCAGCTGCTGTAGCCTCTTTCGTTCCATCTTTCCCCTGTCTCTCTCTTCCTCTCTCTATCTGTCTCTCTCTTTTAGCACAGCGGGTGGCTTAAGAGCTGAAGACCTCCTCTGCAGGTGCAGCCTCTTCCTGCTCTCTCTCAGCCTTTCTTTTACCATTTCCTCTGAAGATCACATTCATAGCAGCACTCACACATGCTCGAGTACAAAAGTTTCTCTGATGCCTGTTTAAAAAAGCCTTTTGCTTGTTTTCCCCCATTCTTGGTCTTTTCTGTCCGTACTTCTTCCCCCCCCCCCTCTCTCTCTGTAACTTGGGGTAGGGGTTAGGTTTAATTAGTTACGCTTAAAGTTAGCATAGGGACTCCTGTAATGTCCTCTATAATGTGCCTCAGTGTGTGTGTGGTCATGTAACAAAAAATGCAGACTCAAGAGGCCAGTAAATATGCAAGCAAATATACAGATCTTAGACATACAATATAAACTGTAACCATAAACAGACATCTAAAATCTAAAGAACTCTTGCTGTAGCATTCCTCCGTCTCTTTATCATACTTGTCTAATGCTCTTTACTATCATTCATACCCGAATAGATAATATTTTCCAGATCGTTTGAGTTATTCTGCTCGTCTGTTTGAGCTGCAGCGGACTCTGTCAACCCACTGAGTCACACAAATGTCTCACAGAATAGCACCATCTATTGGGCCTCTGAATCTGGTGCAGTTTGCTCCAGGAGATGAATATTTTAGTATTCATCCTGCGCTACTTCTCTGAATAATAAACACACTTGTTGCCTTTGCTATGCGATAAGCAACAAATATTGAGGAGCACTTACATTAGAAACATGGTAAATAAAATGAATTTCCTGTTTCTTCATTTAGTAGGCTTTTTTGTAAAAAATACATGTGCTGAAAAATGAGGCAGATGAAAAAGCAGATGCAGCAGAATTTATTGCCGGAGCTAACATATCTGTTTCTTGTCTCGTGTTCTCTTAGATGTTTGTGGGGCTTTTGTCTTTCTGAATCCAGGAAACTAAAACAACTTCTTATCATAACATGTCATTTCCTCCACATTGGCTCTCTTTAGGAATGACTCAATCTGAAGCAAATTTCTTTACCCACTTGCTAAAATTCAAAGAAGAAACACCAGTTCTTTAAAAGAGCAACTCGGATACTCCTGCTTCAGTTTGGGTCGACTTCCGACCTCTTCTCTGCAAACATAAACAAGGTTGAACGTTTGACCGATAAGGCAGAGCTCTGCAGGAAGCTTGTGGCCCAGCGTCTGTTTCTTTGTAGTGTCTGGAGGGCCCTCTCACCTCTCACCCCGTGACCCCTGTCAGAGATAATGCAATGTCATTGCCACAAAGGCCACTCCCCCGCCTCGTCCCTCTGACCAATGACAGCTCGCAGACAGCCTCCATCCACATGGGGAGAGAGGTGAATGTGCCAACACAACAACTTGAGCACAGACTGTCCAGTTACTTGTAAGACAATAAATGGGTGGAGAGGAGCACTGTCGGCCAGTTTGAGAAATGTGTCTTTAGCCTGTGAGAAAATGATAACTCATCAGTAGAAGTGCTGCCGCCTAAAAGATAAAAATGTGGAAAATGTGGCTGGTTTCTATCATTGTGATGATTTAAAAAATACCACTGAGGTTGCCTTGCAACACTACCTGAATAGGTATTTGTTCAACCCTAAGGCTACTCAGGCCAAACTCACCTGTATCTTAGCACTAAAATAATAAATAATACAACCAGTTTTACAAGGATACCTTTTTCAACCTGAAACTTCATTGCCTTGGCTTAATTTCTTTGAAGAATGTGAAAAGCTTGTGACAATTTCCTCACATATTTATACTCCTAATACAATGTGGAGGTCAAGGACACAGAATCACACACACTCACTGGTATAGACATACTGGCAAAGTGCATTCCCTAGCCCCTTACCCTAAACTTACCCATGTCAACTAAATGCCTAACCCTGACCTCAACCGTATTGTAACCTTTAAAGAAAGATTTAACCCTCAAACCGTTGAAAGTGAGTCAACTGCTCCTACTTTCCCCTCCCTTCCTCTTTCTTTTCCCATCTGTGGTAACCTTTACACAGTTGTTTCAAAAAACGCTTTCGAATTTAAACATTCTACTGCACAGCTCCCCTCACACGTGTTCTTCAGAAGGGGACAAAAGATGAATAACTCAGCACAGGTGCGTAGGTCATTTGAGCTACAATCCTCCACCAGCAATATGAGCAAAGGATTCTCTTCTCGGTGGTCCTTGGAGCTAATATTTGAGGAGAGTGAGACATTTCAAAGTGGAAGAAAAGAATGTTTCAAAAAAGAGTAGAAATAACTTGAGGCAAACACAGAATGCGTAATATGTTAAATATGACAAAGTGTGTAAGACCAGGCTAAGAAGTGCTAGTTTGGTAAGGTAGGGTATTAGAAGTGTTTAGAAAGTTTTCAAGAGAGGGGCGCCACTGTTCAATAGCATTTGCTAACTCATTGGGCAACATTTGATTTGGGCCAGTGGAGGTTCATGACTACAGGAGCAACATGTGATCGCTTAGGCTGATTGGAGACCAGATGTGTCGCCTAATTCTGTACATTCATCGGTTTTGAGACAGACCGATAGAGCCTCCATGCTTGGTTCTAGTTGCCACGGCGAGATCGGGTGATAGCCATTCAATAGGTTTGGCAAACGGTCAGTTGCCTGTGCTCTTCTTGGTTTTTGCTTCATCACTGCTAATCATAAACACTTTCTGATAAAATAAACTAGTTCATTCCAGAGTCATTGTCAATTTTATATCAATAAAATCATAACAGATTGCTGATATAATCCAACAAAATCAC